TACTGCAGCCGTTTGGATTTTATACGATATTCATGTTGACGCAGTCCACGGGACTTCCTCCCTCGTTTCGAGTAAAAACGTACTGAACTTTCGTACTGACACCCAGCTCTGTTGATGTCCATCATATGATGGACGAAATTCAGCACGCTTTCACCCGAAACGAGGTAGGAAGTCCCGTGGACTGCGTCAACATGAATGTCGTATAAAATCCAAACGGCTGCAGTACAACGAGATTCATCCGTCATCATCTGGTGAGATCGATCAACGAATCTCTTCTTCATGCACTTTCATGCGAAATAAAGGTCCCCCTAACAAATTTTTCATTTTCTCTACCAAATTGCCTCATTATGAATCTCTTGATGTTTGCCTTTAGAGTGCGACGGAGGAACCGCATCTCTTGTCTGGACTGACTGGTGTCGACAACAACGCAAACATCATGGATATGCGCTCCTCCCTCAGCAATCCTTCAGAAGTGCACGCCAGCCCCACTGTCCCTCTGAATACGCTACACCCAACTGAGCCGTTTTCAGCCTTAGGACAGCCCAGTTGCGCTCGACGCAACTGGAGCTCTTCACATAACCCTCTGCCTAGGCGCATCCGTTTGCCATTCTTCACCTGCCTTTGTTGCCGTCTCGTGCTACGTTCCGGGCAGATTTCAACTCACAAGTGTTTTGTTGACGTAAGCAGGCCTATGCCCCACCAGCCAGGTCGTTTATTAATTTGTGTCGCTTTGCCTTAAGTGGCAAAATCAGGTGGGAAAAAGACGATTATGAAAGTAATATGAGATGTCTCGAAACTCTACTTACATACGAAAAACTATGAAAGTAATTCTCTAGTACCTGGTGCGTTGACTGATTGAGAAGCAAGTAAAACCGCCAGATTTTGAGTTATTCTGACTTAGTTGCATGACGGTTTATTTGATAAGTAGCTGAAAGCATCAGCGCTAACGTTTGGAGAGAACATGACTCTGTAGACCAGCTCAACTATTCTACTACATTCCCACTAGAATCATCAGATTGGGTTACCTCTGAGTTTTAACAGTTGAGCTCAATAAAAAGGTAGATCTTAATGCCAAGAAATTCAAGATCAAGAAGTATTTCTCTTCCATGTAATGGAGGAAACGATTTCTAATAAAATCTGACCCTATAAGAAGTACGACATTTTATGTGAAATCCGAGGCTAACAATAAATCAGATATATGAAATGTATTCACCCTATTTCATTTAAGATGATGAAAGAATGATAGTTAAATTTTCCCGAATTTTACATGAGATTTCCATCAAATTTCACATAGGAAATAGATATTCTCTTCCAGGGTGGACTTTAGTTTCGACCTAGCCTAGGTCTTATCAACATCTCCAGTGAGACTCGAAACATGACAATACAGATTATAATCTCGGTATGTAATATGAGAAAATACTCGGCCTTCCTTTGAATTCACATCTGCTCTGTAACCCAAGAGCACTCGTGGTAATGTAGCATAATGGTAAATGTGCCGAGATTATACACTACAATGTTATGGTTCCAGTCCCGTTGGGTGCGCTTATAAGACCTAGGCGAAGTCGAAACTACAGTCCACCTTGGATTAAAATATCTTTTGATGAGCAAGGTTATGTGCATTTCAATGAAAAAGTCATGTGTTCTCATAACGTTGTGGGAAAATTTAAATACCAGTCCTTCATCACTTACGAAAAAAGTAATTTCGTCGATTGCTATGGCAAATATAAGTTTGTTTCATCGACAATCATAACACAGAATGTGATATGGAAAATGCCTGACATTCCTTTAAATTCACATCTGCCCTATGGCTCAAGGGAATTTGTGGCATTGTGGCATAGTGGTTAACGTGTCGAGCTTACACGCCGCACTGTCATATTTCGACTCCCGCTTGAGGTGTTGATAAGACCTATGTGAGGCCGAAACTGCAGTCCACCCTGGATGAGAACACCTTTGGGGAAAGAAAGGCTATGTAAAATTCAATTGAAACGTCAGCTCTATTCATTTCATTGTGGGAAAAGTTAACTATCAGTCCTTCATTACCTTAAGTGAACTAGGGGGAATACAACGCAAAGTATTCATGCCTTTTTATATGTTCCTTGATCAAGAGGGATACCGGGCGGTAGTATTGTGATAGGTAATCAATTATTTATTTT